ACTGTGCGACCCGCGCGGGCTCCGAGCGCAGCGGGTCGGGAAGATGGGTGCGGAGGCGGCTGGAGAAAGCGCGACAAACAGGTGTCCCTGCCTCCCGCCCCCGTCCCTTCCCGGTCGGGGACAGCAGAAACTTCGGTGGCACGGCCTGGGAAAGAAACATCACCAGAGTCAGGGGACACTGTGTCTTCGGAGCTGAAGTCCTTTACCTTCCCGGCCGAAGTGTCTCAATTGCTTCCCTCGGGCAGTGGCGGCAGTGGCAGTGGCGGCGGCGGCGGCGGCGAAGGGAGTGAGGATTGCCACAGCACCATTCGCTGTTTCACGACTCCACTAATCCGGGCTCTGGGAAATAATTTCCCGCCGCGCGCTCCGCCGAACCGGAAGCAGTTGTGCCACTTCCGGGTGGTTGTCAGTGACGCTCTGGAGCCGTCGCCAGGGTGGCCTGAAGGCTGCAGGCTTGACTCTGGCTGGTGGAGCTCTCGCTGGATCTGTGCGGGCGTTGGGAGACCGACCGGTAAGTGCTTTTCTTGATTGACTCCTGGGCTGGTATTTCCGGCAGGTGAGGCTCGTTGCAGCGTTTCCGCCAGACTGAGAAGTGAGTGGGCAAGGATTGAACCAGGAGTACCCATGCATCCCTGGGGGCTCTTGATCCCTCTTGTGGCTGGAGAAGGCCCTTGGACCTGGGCTTACCGACTTCTCCACTCACAGTATCTATGTCAACTTGGAACTCGGTCTTGGGTCCCCAAGAATCCCTAGGCGAGGCCGAAGACACTGTGTACCTCCACTGGGGTTGTCCCGTCTTCTAAAGAGTCTCCCATTGCCAAGGTTTGGTTACATTAGATTCTCTTGAGCTGTTTTCCCCATCCTTTCCCCGGTTATACTTTCCGTAGTTCTGAAGGGCTATGCTGGGAGGCAGCAGTATGCTGAAGAACTTGTACCTACTTTGTGCCTGGTGTTGAGAGGTCTTCCTCAAGTGAAAGTAATTAGATGTTTCTGCTGAAGTTTGAATTAGTGAGAATAGGCCTTTTTTTCCCCCAGTGGCTATAAACTAGTGAAATATGATAACTTTATAATGCTTAGGATTTAAACTCACGTTTTATCGTCCAAAAGTATTTTCACAAAGGAATATTCACTTTGCTTCAGGTTTCTCAGTAATGAAAGATTCAGAATTCTGTTTGGAAGTTTAAGGTAGCCCGAATAGTTGTAAAGAGAAATCGCATCTGACAAAAGGGATAAAGTGAAGAAAGGTACTCATTTTCATTCAGAGTTGAAAGGTGTTACTTAGTGACAGTGTCAACTTTCCTCTTTTTTGGATAATGCAGCTTCTCCTAGTAAGTAATTCTCACTCGCCACCTTGTGTTTCACTAACCACCTTTTCCACCCAATAAAAGGCAGCTGATTGGTTTTCTTAAAAGAGCTCATTCCAAAAAGAGAACTAGGAACTTTTTCTAACATAAGGCAGCACACAAGTTTCTTCCTACCTTTTGAGAGAAATGCAACCATACTTAGGACAGCATATTGAACTTTCTAACCTCCTGGTCGGTTAATAATTCAACAAGCTTTTATGATTTTACCATTTTTCATCATTTTTCATCATTTTCCATCATTTTTCTTTAGTTCTTCATTTGAAAATTCTTTCAGGGAGATTGCATGTTATTTCCTTATAGCAATTGCTTTTTAGATGGGCAGGGATTTTCTTTTTATCACTGCTCTTAATTTCTCCATTCAAATTAATCAAATCAACCACTTACACTTATCACAATTGTTTACTATCAGCCAGACATTTACATTCTTCATTTTGATTAAAAAAAGAAAAAGAAAAATTATATATTTCTGGTCATTTTATACTGAGACTTAAGGTTGTAATTTCTCACACATTAAGCTGTTTAGAGGTGTACTTGAGATTTGAGTCCAGTCTACCTGACTATAATCATTGGCTGTAATCTATACTTCCTCTCATAAACATTATAGAATCATTCTTTTCACTTTCAGGCAAAATTGGCTAAATAGTATGGGACATTTAGAAGTCAGTGTAAACTAATACTTGAAGATAAAGGAATTTAAGGAATGTTCATCACCATAGGAAATTTTTACATGAGAATAATGTAATTTCTTTTCTTCATTTACCCTTGGCCACTTATCCTACAACCTCAAGTGCCTGTAGTGTACATGAGCATAAAACTAGGGACAAAACCAAAAGATATGGGAAGCCACCAACATACTAGTCGAGTGTCAGCTGTCTTCAAAGGCAGCTTTTCACATGTGTGTGTGTTTGTCGAGAGTGAGTGAATAAGCACAAATTCATATTTTCAGGATTTACTGATTATTAGCAGAACTTTTCTGCTTTACTGTAGCTTTCAGACAGATGATAATTATTACACATTTTAAAGTAGAGTGTTAATCTGGCCCATTCCAGTATCTTATATTGAGAATGAGAAATAGCCTAATTTAAGTGAGTTCATTAAAATTCAATCCAACCAATACTGTAAATGACATAGAATTTAAAGAATAGGGCTGGGGATTTAGCTCAGTAGTTCTGCTGCCTGCCTTGCAGGCGCAAGAACCTGAGTTTGATCCCCAGTACCAAACAAACAAACAAAAAAGAATTTAAAGAATGCCTTGTTCTACAGAAAGACACTATACATATACAACTAACCTCAAATACTGACATGTATTTAATTACATTCCAATGACGTAATTATGTACTTTTGCATATCCCATAGGATGATCTCACGGACATTTTACTTTCTATCAAATTTTAGGGTTTATGAAGGTTCAGATTATGTCTGTCTTTTCAGCATCTAACACTGTACCTCTATTTGGTAGGAGCTCAAAAACATTGGTTGGTTGACTATCCATTTTAAAAATGTTACTTGCTACTACAAAAGTGTTTGTACATGTAAAAGTCTACAACAAAAAATATACATGTATTATTTTAAAAGGACTTACTACATAAATAAATGAATGCATATTTATTATTGACCCATCTGTGTGATATTCACTCCACACTCATCCATAAGGGTAGGATCCTGCAAAAAAGGCTGGACTGAGGCAGGAGATGAGAGAATATCTAATATTTATTGAGTGTTTACCCTCTTATGCAGTGTAGTATTTAGTTCTCTCAACACTATTGGGTATTAACTTCCTTTTAAAAGTTGAGAAAACTAAGGCAAAGATTAAGCTTTGTACTTGGTCTAATTTGGTACACACAGTTATTAAGTACTAAAGCTGTGATTTGAACAATTGCATCTAACTCTAAAGGCCTCTTCTTAATCTCATTGCTATCCTGCCTCCAGTTAGGCTTTACTCCTAGCTCAGCTTTTAAATGTGTGTGAAGGGCAATATATTTCTCTTCTACAATTTAGGGGTCAGATTGGATAATCTGTAAAGTCCCTACCACCTCTAAAATCCCGATTTTAGTTTTCTCCTACGTATTATGTAGCAGATCTAATGTATTAGAAACACTTCAAGTGAAGCTTTACATGTGTTTGTTTTTTTCATTGGTCAACACACAATCGTGTTTTTGTAATGGAAAGAACAAACCAGAGTTTTACAAAATCTGAGCTGTTCATTTTTACCATCATCTGACACTAATAAGTCACAGAACCTTTTTGAGATTGTTTTATATGCAAAATGGATGCACAGAACTGCTTTGAGGCTCAAGCGAATTTATATATACAAAGCCCAAACATATTGACTAACACAGTTGCCATTAAGTAAATATAGACTTTCGTTCTTCCTCGCTCTTGTGAGGATAAAAGATTGGTGGATATGAAAATGCTTTATGAATTAGACAGGTGTAAAGAATCTCTTCAAAAATAGTCTACAAAGAGATCTAAAGATATACACAAGTAGTGAATTAAGGGATAATTTACAAACTTGTTGATCACAAAACAAAGAAATATAGAGAAAAGTTTTGCTTTCAGGAGGGCAGATGAAAAAGACTTAAAATGAAGAAGTTATATTGTGTGTGGGCCTTCAAGGATGGTGAAGATCTTGACAGAGGGATCACAAAAGATAATGAGTAAACGTATTGCTGGATATGTTGGATGGTGAATGCTAATGATAAAGCTAAGGTAGGACAAGCTATACATAAGAGTGTGAATGTGTTGAAGATGTTAGAATTTCCCAATAATCATTTGTATAACCGTGGTGGGGTACAGTGGAATGAGAGTTTGTTTTCTTTGTTTTGGAAACATACCCATTTGTTAGATATGTTAGAGTATACAAATAAACTAAAAAGAAGAATGAAATGAAAAATTGCCATAATGTCACTACTCAGGAATACTCATATTTTCTCTACATTCTTACAGACTTATTTCTTTTTTAAATAAAAATGTTCTAATTACCTCTTTTCTTGTGACCTTTTTTTCCCACGTGGATATATCATGAATTTTTCCATATTGATAAAGTTTATTCTATAAAATGTTTTCAGGACTTACATACTGTTCAGTTTGTTGAATGTATTGTAACTTTCCAACTGACATCCCACTGTTAAATAATGGTACAATAAAAGCTGTTAGAAAAGTTTGACGTATACATATATTTCTTTGTTACAAATTATAGGACAAATGATAATCTGTGAGTTATATATACATGTTGTACTTATGATGTGCATTGAAAATTATTTGTTTTTAATGAACATATTTAAAGTTGACACAGAATTAAGAAGATACGAAAGGGCGTATAATGAGACAATATCCTCCTTCCCCCGCTTTGCCTTCCTGAATCACAGCTACTCCAAACAGCAGTTTGTATACTTTAGTAAAAGGCAGTCTCTTCTGGAAGTCATCCTTTCCGGTATGGTGACAGCCATGCTGGACACATAGCAAGCCAAGTATAAGCTAGACTTCAGGCCCTACTTGCCCCCTGGTTTGGATATTTGTACACATGGCACAACTTGCATAACCCACGAGCTAGCCCAGCTATACTGTTTTCTTTTTCAGAGGCAACCAGCATAACTGGTTTCTTTTGACACCTTAAAAGTATGAATTGCCTTCATTGGGTCTTGGCTCCACATAAGAATCTTTCATCCCCTCCCCTTGTGTGGGTGACTGTGTGGGTATGTGTTTAGTAGGTATGTAAGATCTGTGTTTTTATAGAAATCATTAGTTCAAGAAAAGAAGGGTGAATCAAACAGGACCATGGAGCACGCAGTCAGCTTCCCCTTGTATGCACAAGTGGGATAGCCATGCTGAAATGCTTACCTTTATCTTAGTTTCTCTTAACCTTTTAAGCAATTCAGTGGACTGACAAAAGCAACACATAAGCGCATTACATTTGGTAGTGAGGTGGGAAGCTTCAGAGAAGTACCAGGTCAGCATTCCACCCTTTCTGGGACCATACAGGCATTCTGACATTAGCATACTCATTGATCACACATGAGATTTCATGAATAATGTTGAAGTAGCCATTTTGTTGTATTTATTTTCTAAAATCCAACAAAGCTAAATACAGACTTTGGCCAGATACAGAAGCCAAAATCAAATGTCAGTGCATAGCTGGAAACATCTA